GCTGCCAAATTTAAAATTATTATTAACATAACAAGGCCAACTGTGCTGATGATACCCATGGCCAAACAAAAAGGGACCTTAGTTTCTCAGGTGCAATACATACGTACGTGCAGAGCATTCTCCTTCCCTGAAAGGACTCACAGTTTAAACATCCTTGCATAGGATGGTGACAAAGATATTAAGCACAACGAAGGGACTAATGTGAGGGCAAAACCAGTTTTACAGCTATTTTTAAATCTTATGTCTAAGTATCTGCATTATTGCTGACTATGGGCTATGAGAAGAATAAAATACAGTTATTCACCTCAAACTTGCTAGGAGATTGATATCTAGGCATTCACTGTGAGACGGTGAGTATATTTAACAGTAGCTATTGTATTAATACAAGGGTAATATAAGTAACATAACATTTGTATTTCTGCCCCACTTGCTCCCAACCCAGTATCAGGTATCTTAACACACTGTCTCTACCCATTGCGCTGCTAACACAGAAACTGAAGCAGATGACTATTGACATTTGGCAGGAAGCTGCACTTGCAAATATCAACTTAGATTCATTACGGTTAATTACATTTTTGTCAAACAGTATGATGTCATAGTATCTGAAGTAAAAAATGTTCCCTCATGTCATATAGCATCTTAATTATTGTCCTAAGAACATGCACACAAAACTTTCTTTTCATTCTGTCCTGATTCTCCATGCAAAAATAATATGAAAGCGTGTAACACATTTAAGCCTTGCAAATATATTATCTGCAACTTACACTTTGGGATACCATTAAAATGTGAAAGAAAATATATCCAGATGAGCCAGTCTCCTTATATACAATAGTACATGATCGACTGTCTAGCAGACGGAAAACCCACACTTAAAAGATATGTTTTCAAATTCAGAGTGGCTTTGGTGGACAAAATTTACCTTTGTTAATATCTCTTCACACTTAGAATATTCTAATAGGAACATACACATCTGTTTCATATTTTAAGGGGTATCTTTCATCCTTTCTCTTGCTTGTGTCTAGGAACAATTTTAGAAGTGAGAAGCACTGGATTCTTACCAGAGCAACTTTTGACCCATTCTTTGTTAATCTGGGTACGTTGTGAACAACTGGTTTTGTGTTCTTCACTCCCACAGGCGTCTTTCATGTGCAGATCAGAAGTCAAGGGCCAATGGATACCTTACACCTTCTCTCAGTACAGAGTCTTGCATAATGTGATCTTGGTCTTGACAGACCGTTATTAAGCACTATAAAGCACTGCTACTACTATTAAAATGGAACTACTGGAGGAAACAACAAGGGTGAATGAATGAATGAATAGCAGCATTATGACAGTTACACATCTGATGGTTCCAGATAGAGATGTTCTAAAAACTCTGTTCCACATTAAATCAAATAATAAATTTTAAGCAGAAACTAGTCTAGTCTAACACACTGCATATTATAGGCCACAGAACCACACCAATAACTCAGGCATCACACCCATGGATATCAGAATGAAATAAGAAAAGGATAGGTAGTCTCATCTCTTAAATTATGTCAAGACAGCAGGAAGTTTTAAAGTCTAGTCTTGGTCCTTCCACTGTCTTGAGAAAGCAGTATAACCAGTTTGCCTGAGTGTCACTGTTTAAAAAGTTGGAGTACTTACTTATCCCACAAGGGTTCTGTCAGGTTTAATTAATTATGCCTGTAAAATCCTTTCTAAATGAAAAGTGGCAAGCATGATTTATTAATTAAGTCTAAAACACCACTGCAGAATCAGAGACGGATCATTGTTTTATCAAGAGAATAAAATTTCTAATAAAATACATTTCAAATGGGAAATTATAATAGCAGCCTTTTTGACTTATTTAAACTTTTTTGTGAGGAGCAAAGCAATAGACTTCTGATGAGTTCTAGGAATAGAAGTGTAATCAAGAACAAGAGAGACAGGAACGCTCGCCCACCGACATTCATGTGGCACTAAACGGCATTGCATAAATCATGAGAATGGGGGCTACATACCTAGCATTGCCGTAGGACCAAGCTGACAGAAAAATACTCCGCTGCCTGTTAGATGTCACTTGCTTGTAGCCTGGCTACGTGCAAGGATCTGTGCAAGTCACCTAGATATAGCCACCCACAGCCGACCACGGCATTAGTCGCCCAAAACTACCCATAAGATGGCAACGTATGATCTACAAAGGGCCTGATTTATGGCAGTATGACGCTACCGCTGTCAGCTCTCACGCTCACAGGTGTACCAACAGCTACAGCCTGTATCTGCAGGCAGAATCCAGGTGTCAGTTATGAATGACAGCTGTCATTGATGCACACCTCCTCTCGGGGGGCAGCGGGCCCTCTGTTTTGGTCCTCTTTTCCCTATGACAGCAGCTGTGTTAGCTAAGGTATTCCTCACTGGGAAATTAGAATTCAGTCGGTGCTCGCTAGGGCCAGGAATCCACCGGCACAGATAGAAGAGTAGTTCCAAACGTTCAGAAAAAGTTGTGGATCGAAGGAGCCGTGAGTGACACCGGTTCAGCACACCCACTGGAGGGTCAGTCCCGCAGCCCAACTCTTTCGTGGACCATAACTCCGCCTGCACCGGCGAGCTCCACACCCTCAGCGCCGGTGGCCAGAGTTTCAGAGGAGGAAATGAATCATGCCCTCGGAATGCAACTGAAATCCTGCAGATCCGAGAAAATACTTATTCATGTGCATTTGTGTACGTGCATACCTCGTACGTTGCCAGTTACATTTCGATCAGATACCGCATAGGAATAAGAATACCCCAGATCTAGTGGTATTGAACATTAGGTGGCATTCCAAACATAAGGCACGTGATTATAAGTGAAACAAGCGGTACCACATGACTTAAAATATAACATCAACTGAATTTGGGCCCGATCCAGCACAAAATAACCACCGCTTTTCCAGGCTACACAGACATCAGGTTTGAATGGTCACACTGCAGCAACATGACACATAATTTGGAAATATCAACTTGTTATAGAAAGACAGTAAGGGATTGTCTAGACTGGGTCAAAACGCCGTGCAGAAACATTTTAGCTAAAATTAATACAGCGTAAGAAAGGGTGAGCCAAGTTTGATTTGTGAGTTGGCCATGGCAAGCCCGTGGGAAGATCTCCTCAATTAAATTATTACTAATTTGTTTACATTTGCCTGTGAAGTTCCCAATTCTGGGTCACATCACCTCTCTGCCTCTTTGTTTCCCAGCCTCCTCCTTTTTTACCACATCGACTTAAGACGACCAGGCACGAGAGCCACCTCTCCATGCTCACGCAGACCTGGCCAAGCAGCACGGCTCTTCCACAAGCAAAAAGGTTGAGACGGCCCCAGCACCAAACTTTCCGGAACAGCCAAGCACCTCAGACACAAGCCCCATCTTTTTAAAGCGGCGTCGATGCCTAAGACCTGGATTTAGCCGCAGGCTCCGACACAGGCGCCAGTCTCGCTTGCTAACTGGGGATTTTCAGTGTGGCAGGTGCATCCCTGGCAGGGACCCCCCCTTGGGCAGGGGCAGAGCTGAAGCGGCAGATGACGCCATGAGCAACGGTCCTTGCCCATGCTGCTACTCCACAAAAAGGCACTGCAGGTAACGTCGTTATTTGGAAGTAAGGTGACAAGCGTATCGCGCTGCAGATCTCGGGGCAGCCCAACCACGTCTTCACTAGTGTTTGCGACAGTTCTCGCCAGAGACAGCTGGTCGTGACCTACCTTCAAATATCCTCTAGCTGGGTGGTTACGTTGAAGACATGGAGGAGATTTGAAGCCACCAAAGAATGCAGTAGTTACACGGCCTGGATTGCCATCACACCTCTGTACGCGTCCTTTCCTGGAGAGGTAGAGGTGTGCATTTTCTTCTAACCAATTCTTCAATCTCCTGCTTACAGGTAGTTACCGCGTGTCATGAAGAGCCGAGTGTGGCCTCCTGCTCCAGCTCAACTTTCACCCTGTTTTAAAAAAACATTTTATGTGACTATGTAGCCAAATCTGCCCCAAACATCAGAGTTCGGGGCCTCTCCCCATCCGTATGCTAAAATGCATGTAGGAATAAGCAGGACAAAGAAGCCATAGAGATGGACTCCATTGTCCTGCAAGTCCTTACATGAAATTTGCACCATATTTGATTGGACAATTAACAGCTGCGCATTTCCATTACACTTGCAGTGCTTCGCCATGGCAGCGCTGCCCCTTCCCAGCCGCCTGAGGTGGCACGAGTATTTCCATTCTCATGCTGCCGCTGCTGCCACCGCTACTAAAACAGCAGGGAAGACGGGCTTGTTCGGAGCTGTGGTCCATTTTGCCTGCCGTTACGTCCTCACAGAGTCGATGTGACAGGTTGTAAAAAGCCTTTACAACCTGGTAGGCTGCACACAGCGGTCTGAATGAGAATTATAGGGCTGCCTCGTGTAAAAAAGGTAAAGGACAGAAACCGCTTCCTGGGATGGTTTCTTTTATCACTTATGTTTGGAGACAGGGATGCTCCAAACAAACAGTGCTCAAGACCATTTCCTAAAACAAGACACCAGGGCACACATGGAAACGGATTCTCATTTAACCTTACATGTATAAAATGATAAATTGGGTCCCTAAGGGCTGAAACGTCAGACTGACTCCAGAGTTTCAAATATAAAAAAAACACAGGTTACCTTCCGGGTGTAAAACTGGTCCCTAAACCGACTGAAACACCACGTTGACTCCAAAATATCAGAAATACAGGTTGCCTTAAAGTCCGGGTTGAGCCTCCAGCACTTAAAAAAAACACCAGAACCACAAAAAAGCCCCGAAACCCATCAAGTAGGAAATCTTTTAAAACTCCAATTAGGGGAAAAGCAGCTAACAGCAATTAGCAGCCTATTCAAAGCACCCCTCGCACTCACCGCCAAACGGGGGCGGGGCGGGGCCGAGGCGGGGCGGG